TGTTCGTAGAGGTGATTGTCTTATACGGATAGCCCATAGAGCAGGTTTAACTGCAAACATATATATGTGTCACGACGCGGTGGAATCAGGCGCTCGTCAATTTTTGGACATGTGGATTTATTGGTATCATCTGAAAGCCATCAGAATATATCTATTTATCTTGAATAGAACGTATAACGATTGAAGGAAGAGAGGTCGCCTGGTTTCATTGGAGAAATTAGCAAGAAAATGGCCACCAAAGTTTAGTAACTCCAATAGCTAAAGAGTCCTTGAAAACAGAAAAATGACATATTTTGTGTCTTTTATCAATGTTTTTTTAGTAAAATTCACATGGAAATGTGTTTTCATATGGACCTAAAAGAGGCTAAGCCAAAAAATACAAATTCAATAAAAATTTCCAAACTGGCAGAAAAATGCCTGTTTCTCCGTTTTCGATATTTTGACGAGCGCCTGATTTCACCACGCTGCCTCACATATGTATGTGTGTGTGTGTATATTTCGATTAAGACTCACCACTGATGCAGTCATCATCCAACATGGGCACCTCCAAGTAGATTAAGCCTTTCCTGTACAGACCTGGACAGTGACAGAAAAACATCTTAGTTTTTTTTTAGTTTTGTTGGAAGAAAGACCACTTTCGTTCAAACACTTTTGTCTTTTTTAATCATTCCAACATTTACTTGTTCGTGAAAACATAAAACAGAATAATGAAAGCTGCCTACACGCATTTACAGCTGAGTGCTTGTATGTGTGTGTACGCATTTCAGGCAATGTGTGTGCATCTATCAAAGAGATGTGTAGTGGTATGTACAACAAAAATTTTTTGGTTTTTATATCTATAAAAAGCACATGAGACTCATATGATCAGGAGTGGGTACTTTAAAAATGTATTTAATCTTTTCCGTGGCACAAAATGGGAGTGTTAATCTCCTGGTTCAGAAAACTCAGAGTTAATGCTTTTAAAATAATAATAATAATAATAATAATAATAATAATAATAATAATAATAATAATAATAATAATACTAAATCCCACCCCAAAACTTTCCACAATATTCCATCACATCATTTCTTGTTACCCATGAACTGAACCCATCCTGATTTTCTATACAATCTCCTGTAAACCTGTGTCTGAAGTGTAATTTCAGCTGAAGTTGTTTCTGTTTTTAAATTAATAAGACGAATATTTGGAGCGATTTTCTTTTAGTCAAAACACAACATTTTATATTACTGTTGTATGTTATACTGTATTGCAAAGCGCTCAGAGCCTGTGTACTTTAATCACGGTTGAGTGCTATATAAATGTCATTTATTATCATCATTAATGGTTAAGCTTTTGAGTTCAATTCACACATGGGGAAGTTTTGTATCAAGTATCTGCGTAGAGATACTGTATCCCACTCAGCCAAGGTTGGTCCTGACAGGCAGAGAAAAAGCAGCCCCAAGTAGGAAATCATTAATAAACTGTTGTTCGTTTAGTTTTAGTAAGTGTTTTACGGCACCAGCAACACAAAAAGGTCATATAAGTGCTGAAGATTAGAGGTGTTACAAGAGAGTAGCAAACATAAAAAAGAAGGAGGAGAGATAAGGACGATAGATGTTTGATAGGAAAGAAGAAGCAAACCACACTAGAGCACCCGCCAACCACCCACAAACTGTTGTTCGTCATCATGGAAAGCGTCCTGTAAGACTGTCTGCAAAGAGCGACACACTCCACGGGGAACTCACTGTGAACAACTTCCTTGCTGAGCTCCCCTGACACTTGAGGTCCTGTGTCGATGACCATGTCTATGACTTTCTTCTCCGCATCGTTACATAACTGAAACACAGACATCGTAACACACGTTTTACATAACTGAATCATAGACACCATGAAACGTGCTTTACATAACTGGCACAGAGTTATCATGAAATAAGTTTTACATAACTGAAACACAGACATAGTAACGCATGTTTTACATAACTAGGACATAGACAGCATGAAACGTGTTTTCATAACTAAAACAGAGACACCACGAAGCAAGTTTTACATAACTGAAACACAGACATCATGAATTCGGCACTTATATGACTTGTTTGTGTTGGAAACTCTTACTAAGACTTAAAATTTAAAAACACCATGAAGCAAGTTTATCATCAACATCATTATGCGAAAAACAAAAACCTTCAGATTTCTTGAAAAGACGCTTATAGTTCATTTTCCATCCAACGTGGTGTTATAATTCTTGTACAAATTTTGGAAAATAGCCCTGAGTGAGTTGGATAAATTTTATTGTTCATATTTTTCTGTTCTGAAGACAGCAGTTTCAACTAGTTCAACAAACCACTATCAGTACTTTGAGTTTAAAAAAAGCTTAGAAAACAACAACAGCTTTCCAGATACAAACTATGACAAATCAGCAACATAAAATTTTGGAACATATACTGCGCCTAATGACAAAACAATTTTTCTCTCACAACACATACCCGAATGTCGTCCTCCGTGACAAAACCCACTTGGACGATCCACCAGGGGTCAATGGTCACTCCCTCGATCGGCTGACCGGGCAACAGTTCCTTCACAGGACGCTTGCGGAAAAATTTCTGGGTAAAATAAAAGAGGGGTTCACAGTTTGAGGAAACATACAGTGCTGCAGCATGGTGAAAGCCCACAGCTGTCATTTATGTTCTCTACTTGTGTCAAGTGTCAGGCTGTTATTGTTTAACATTGTATGAACATATGAACCAAGGTATACAGAAAATTTTTGCTCCACGAGAGCCATGTGACAATCCGTGCTTTTCTAAATGATGTGATCATTTTCACATCTAAAAAACTGCTATATCTATAGAAGTAAGATAGTCATTTTCAAATCTAGAAAACTGCCACATCAATGTAAGATAGTCATTTTGGCATCTAAAAAACTGCTACATGTATGTAAGATAGTCGTTTTTACATCTAGAAAACTGCTACAAGTATGTAAGACAGTTATTTTCTCATGTAGAAAACTGCAACATCTGCATAATTATAAGACAGTCATTTTTACATCTAGAAAACTGCAGCACCTAAGTAAGACAGTCGTTTTTACATCTAGAAAACTGCAACATCTACATGAGATAGTCGTTATGACATCTAGAAAATCACAAAAGCCTCATAAGACCCTATGAGCAACCAGCCCCGAGGAAAACAATTCTCGACACGAAACAGGAACTGACCTTGGAGGAGCGGCACTGGTTCATGAGGTCAATGTACTGGTTACGTCCAATGCCCAGCAGCCTCAGACCTAAGAGGAAAGAAAGTTTGCAGCCAATCACAACAAGGCTGAGTCACATGTCCATGTTGACATTCAAAATCATGTTGACAGAGGGTAGCGCCCTCTTCGAAAAAGTGCGGACTTTGCGAGCAGAGTTACCCTACTCGTGTGAAAAACAATAAAAGCGAAACTAACAAACTGTGCTATTCCTATTCTTCTTCTGGAGAAACGAAAGAGAGCTTCAAAACAAAGACTGCATCACCATCTGAACAATGTGCGGACTTCCGCAAACACTTTTTTGGCTGAGTGAACTATCTTGTTATGAACGATCTTTGATAAAAGAAAGTTATTGATGTAAATCTAACTATTGTAACCCATGTTTATGGGATTCCAGGCAGTCGCAACAGGGAACTGCGGAAAGGAGGCCTTGAAGCCATTGAGTTAAAAAGTTTCTCTACTTTAATTTCCAAGTTGTCGGGTACAATCGCTGCGAGGTTGCAGTGTGCACTGGAACCACCAGAAAATGACCCGACCCAATCCGTTCGCACAAGTGGGCACCCCCTATAAGCCGACACACAAACATTTTTAAATACATTGCGGCTACACACAAAGAAATATATGAAGAGCTGAGATGCAAAACCCGCTACATTCATTTCGCACTTTTGAGAAAATCAGCTTTTTTTAGTGCTGCTGTACGCACAAACATACGCAAAAAAATATTTTTTGGTGGCTTTTATGAAGTTTGTGTTGGGTTTTGGCCCAAAACACTTTGTGCATGTGATAACTGATAATGTCGCTTAGCGGGTTTTGCATCTCACCCCCTCATATATAATAATAAAATGCTTAAGCGCAGGTAGTTTTTTGCTAGACATATAAACTGTTTTGTTTTAGTAGAGGTTTTACGGCGCTCGCAACTGCATAAAAGGTCATATGAGCGCCAGAAGATTAAAACCGTTACAAAAGAGTAACAAACATAAAAAAGAAGAAGGGGAGATAAGGACGATAGATGTTTGATAGGAAAGAAGAAGCAAACCACACCAGAGCACCCGCCAACCACCCACATATAAACGTTGGAAGAAAACTGCTCACAGTCAGCTGCTGTGAAGTTGGGCAGCGAGTCGTAGCTCTTCTCCTGTCCCATGATGTCCTGCATCATGTTGCTGTAGTAGGAGAACGGGGTCACGCGCAGCCCCTTCACCATGATGTCCGACAAGTGGTACGGGTACAACATCAGGTGCTCCCGGCTGTACTGCAGCAGCTCCTCGTAGTAGCGCGGCTCATCTTTGCGCACCGTTTTCACTGGAGGTGGGGGGGGGGGGAGATGGAAGGTTGAGGACATGGGGAGGAGGAAAGAGAAGAGGAGGGTGGAGGAGAGTAGAGGGGAAGGGAGGTGGGGAGAGGAGGAGGATGGGGGGACAAGGAGGGAGAGGAAGGGGGCGGGAGAGGAGGTTGATGGGGAAGAGGAGAGGGGAGGAGAGGGGTAGGAAAGGAGGGAAGGCACACACAAAATATTTTTACTAGCTCTGTTGTTGATTAATTGTAAAGGATAGTACAGTGGAAATTGTCCAAGACGGCCACCCACTGTTGAGGAGAAAATTTGTAACCTCACAGTGGTGTACTTCTCGGACAGTGTCATTTTATGATATTTTTAAAATTCAAGGAGGAGAGGTTGGAAGTGGTGATTCGTACAGGTGATTCTCTGGGACAGATGGCCGTAAGAGTAGGTTCGACTTGTGTGAATTATATTCTCCCTTTAGCACAATTTTGATCATTCAGGAAATATGCTGCTTCAACCCTTGTGCCAGTCAGGGTCAAACCTAGCTGAGAGGAATACAACATTTTTGGTCCAGCAGACAAACGGAAATACTTGATAAAATAACTTCTCCATACGTGACTCTAACCCACATCTTCTCTGTCACACTGTGTGATGGGGAACAGCCTAACCATAACACTGCAGACACAGCTTTCAATGTCCTGTAGCTTTTCATTTGAATTACATACAGACAGAAGTATGTGAACAGTATAGTAATGGTTATGGTTATTTATGGGGAGTGAGAAGTCAACAACAAAAAACAAACAACAAAATTTATGGGAATAACATAGGACCTAAAAGATATCTTGTATTATATATATGAGTAATACAGAGCCAAATTAATTGCACGGCAACTGTTATAAATTTAAGGGGTAAAATAAGGCCAAATTAAAGTGAAAAGCTTCACACAATGAAGGACCTAAAAGATATCTTGTATTATATATATATGAATATGAGTAATAGAGAGCCAAATTAATTGCACGGCAACTGTTACTACTGTTATAAATTTATGGGTAAAATAAGGCCAATATAAAGTGAAAAGCTTCACACAATGAAGGCCACGTTTTTCTCAGTCAAGACCAAAGTACTGTCAGAAAACATTTTAAAATGTATTATTATGCTTGAGAACTCATGTCTGGTATATTAAAAATAAGCTGTACCATAAAGTCATAAAGGGAACATTCACTACTAAATTTATCTGTTTATAAAAATGAAAGCTTCCTCATCACCACACTTGCCACTGATCTTACCCAAATTTCCCTTGTAGCGGAGCTGGTTTTTAATGCTGAAGGTGACAACCGCTTTTTCATATTCACGTTGGGAGTTGAAACTCTGAAACAAAAGTAAAGTAAATAGTACATTACGACAATACGAAAAGATGGGGACGTTTGGGATATAGGTTTAAAATTCTTAGAATGCAAAAGTCAAGCTTGCCCTATCAGACACAGTACTGAAGACTGGAACAAAAAAAGGTAGACCAATTGGCAGTTAGGAGTGCAATCAGGGATTAGACAATCACCCAGGGCCAGGATGTGCTAAAATTAGAGAAAGTGGCCAAGGACAGAAAAGGGTGGCGTAAACTGCTCTCTGCCTTTTATGTACCTGACAGTACAGTAGGAGTAAATAAGTAAGTAAACAGTACATCCACACTCTGAGGATGAATGCAAAATATTATATTATACACCTCTTGTCAAAACAAATTCTAAATGGAAACAACAAGTCCATGATTTATTTTTAAGCCGTAATAGATCGATATGACTTTAAGCGTTATCTTTTCATCAACTCCCCTTCCCATATAGCAAGGGAGAACGCTAAAATTCTACATTCTTCCAAGAAAGTCATGAAACTGGCCAAGGTCTTCTAACACAAATATCAGCCACCGCCTTTATTTAGCAATTAATCATTAACAATTGAAGTTTGTATTACCCTAAGGTATCGAAAAAAAAGGTGTGGGGGTAGGAATATAACTTATAAGGGGGGAGGTGGACAAGTGGTCCAAAATTAATAAACGGGGAGGTTGGAATAAAAGGGGGAGGGTGGCACATTATTCAACCTCGTATCCATGTACTTAAGTAGGAACAAATCTGTTTTATTTCTCCTTCAGTGAATATATATATATTTCTCACATGAACCAAAGTTCACCATTATACTGTGGTGATCAATAAGACTAGTAAGTAACAGATAACAGCAGGGCAGGGGAGGTGGGAGTGGGGCTCGATGATGTCATGCACTACCAAATAATTGTCTCTTTTTTCACTCACTCACTCACATACACAAACACACATAATAATACGCACACACACACATACATGCATAATATATATATATATATATATATAACAATAACATAATATGATCCCCCCTCTATCTCTCTTTCTCATTCAATCCCTTCATCATTCTGTCAAGAACCTCAGATCTATATCAAATTCTCAAAAACTAAAGTCCAAACCCCTGAATAACCCATATCGGTCCGCAATGATGTTCATACAGGATGTTTTAAGTCATATTAGTTCAGAGAGTGATATAATTGCAATCACCAGAGAACCACACATCCAGAACAAAGCAGTAAGTTGTAACACTAACAGTACCGTTTTTTCAAAGACCTCTCTCTTTCAAACAGAAAGAAGAAAAATGTATCGTAAAATCTAGCAACTGATGAGTCAATAAGAGTGAAAAAGCATGAGGTATAATTATTATTGTTATCATCTTGAGCAAGATTGTTGAAAGTTTATGCCTATATATGCACATGAAACAAAAATTATTGAATTGTAATAATCGTATAGATCTAGATCTAGATTCTAGATCTAAATCTGTTGGGAAGCTCTTCCTTACCCTACAGTTTAGCCAGCCTTTTTACTATAATAACGTAAGTAAGTTAAAATATAACTGGACTTCTACACAGCAAAAATAAATAAGTCTACACAATTTTTTTTAAAACTGAGAACAGATCTATTATAATGAAATTGTATAGTGATCCAAGGGTGAGGTTAAAGACTACATAGTTAAATATTAACAATTTAATTAACAGATTGACCAACAAACACTGCAACAATCATTCCAATCACAATGCAATGCAAGTGAAAAGATTATAATTCATTTACAGACTCAAAAACTATCAATATGAACACAACAACAATGTAGTCAACAACTACTACTTATAAATGACTTGCAATGAAATGTCAACTGGCTCATATTTATTAGACTAATCATACTAATGATTAATTAATATGGCATTTATTTAAATTTAATGTCACAATAAATAAACAAGTTAATATCTCCAATAATGAGAATTTAAAATAAATTCATTCCCACAAGTAAACATAACAAATCAATACAAAATGTTTTGCAGCAGAACTTGCAAAAATTACGGTTACCTTGAAGATAAACAAAAACTTTGATGGCTGTTGATACTGCCACCTAAAAAAAGGAAAGGTTTTATTGTATGGTCTGCTAATTTCTCCCTACCTGTTTCACATTGGCGGGGAGCTTTTGCCACGAATGATTTTGTCGTATGTGGTTTTCTGCCAGACTCTCAGCGCTCATTTTCGATTTATTTGATCATCAGTTCTTCAAATATGAAATTCAGTCTAATATTTGTGAATACACAACACAGGTTAATCCCAAGAGAGAATAAACTCCAATGTTTATGCAACGTATTCACTAGTCTGCCATTACTCTGATCAGATTCATTTTGAGCCTCACTGGTGACAGAGGATGGCACATTCACCTCCCACTAATCAACTTCCGGATCATATCACGTGATTTTCTCTTGTTCTATGTAAACTCAAATCAACAGCTCTGTCTCTGTGCAGTTTTTTTAATTTTGCCGAACTTGTTTGTTTTGCAAAGAGACCTTTACTAGATCTATAGAATCTACACGTAGGCTAGGCCCGAGCACTGTACAACGAAAAGTCAGTGAGATTGTGTAAGAATTAGATCTATATTATGTCGCATCTGTTGTGGATGAACGACATTGACAAGAGGGCCTAACAAACTGCTCCCATCCACATTCGCTAAATTAAGTTATTATAATTTTGATACACGCTTGTCTTGTCTTTATTTTTATGTTGTAGTTAAAATTTGATTTTGAGCGGGTATATTGACCATCCCGAGTCACATTGTCAATTGTGCCTGTTGGCGAGTTTTTAAAATTGTTTTCTGTATTTATTTTTTTTTATTTGGGATCTCTTAACGCTTAACTAGA